TTTTGAGACTCTTTGTTGTTGTTTTTTTGTTTTGCGGTGGTGAAGAAGTCTGTGGTCGTAGTGACAGGTCCCTGATGGCCAAGGGCCCGTTCAATTTCTCCCTTCCAAAAATTATTTTTAAGTTTTTTTTTTCTGTGGTGAAGGGGTAACCATACCAGCTCCACATAAGTCCGTGAAGGACAGGAGCGAATGCTTAAAGTCTCCGGTCTTTGTTGAGGCCGACTCCATTCCACAGCGGTGCGCCAGCCAGCTCTGGTTGTATCCCTAATTACGGGCATAAGATTCAGGGAATGCTTCGCGCGGCGCGTATTAACCCGTTGGGGTGCGCCGTGCGCCGCCGCGCGCCCTCTCCTCTCTCACTCCCTCTCCCTTTGCGCCTCGCCGCAAGTGGTATTGTTTATTCCGTCGCTCGGAAGGAAAAATATCCCTCAGGAATACTGATTTCCTCGGAGGCCGCGCGAGGCGAGGCGCCAGCGCGCCAGCCGTGCGCGCGCCAATTCTTTGCCTGATATTTCTGTTGAGAATGCTGCGGACTGATTCCGAGAGTCGTTTTCGCCGCTCTCGCACCTATACGGGACTACCCATGAGTGCGAGAGAGACAGAGCGGCGAACACGACTCTCGGAATCGGTCTGCTGATTACCCGGCACACCGTCGGGGCGGCGGCGGCGGCGGCCTCAAGCGGATCAGGGCGTCGATGGTGGGCGGCGGTGGCTTGCTTGGCGGCGGGGAGGACGCCCAGTGTTGCCACAAAAGAAGGCGAAAATTGCAGTCAATGTGTAGAAAGAGTTGCCATCCTCGGCCTGCCTGTTTCGCATTTGCTCTCGAGGAGTCGTGCAGTAGGCCGAGGGTGGCAACCCTTTCGACACTGGCGCATCGCGGCGGGAGTTTTTGGCAACACTGCGCACGCCGGCACGCCTTCTGCATCTCCACTGTGGATTCAATTCCTCCTCGCAGTCCATCCTTTCAGGCCGAATCTCGACTAGATAACGCTCCTGCCGTGAAACAGTGATGCATCTCGCTGCCTCGGCAGTAAAAGATGCTGCAATAAAGGGGATTTTGCTCCTTTTTTTTTCGGGGCGTTGTTTTAGGGGTTGATACCATTTGGGGCTTCGGAGGGGTGGACGGAGGGCTGCGATACCCCCTCTCTTTCTCTCTCTCTCTCTCTCTCTCTCTCTCTCTCTCTCTCTCTCTCTCTCTCTCTCTCTCTCTCTCTCTCTCTCTCTCTCTCTCTCGCCGCCCTTCGCTCTACGCGCTTGTAATTCGCCGTCACCACCCTTCGCTGCTTCGCTCTAATCCCCTTATTCCTTTTTCCTCTCTGTCCCCGCGGCCCGGCCGAGGCCCCCGATGTGTCCGTCCCGATACCAGCCGCCGCCTAGAAAGTCCACGAATAGATAAGTGTTTACGAGCGCCCTTTCAATTAGGCCCCGACGACGGCAAGCTGAGCCGACCTGCGCTCCGCCTCTCCCTCTCTCTCCCTCTCTCTCCCTCTCTCTCCCTCTCTCTCCCTCTCTCTCCCTCTCTCTCGCACCCTGGCGCAGCCTCACGCAGCCCCCCGCGAGTGCGAGAGAGACAGATTTTTTGGGAGTCGGGTTAGCCGAGCCGATTCGGTTCCGGCTCCTCCGAAGCCGACGGGGCACAGTGGGCCAGAAGACCGGTGGAGGCGGCCAAAACTCTAGACGCGTTTTGAGCTCCAGAGTCGCTACATGGGACTCGAACCGAACGTGTGACCCCACGGATTGCTCTCCGGACGAGGAATCCATTGGTGGGGTCACACGCTCGATTCGAGGCCTGTGTAGCCACTCTGGAGCTCAAAACGCGTCTAGAGTTTTGGCCGCCTGCACCGGTCTTCTGGCCCACTGTGCGGGGCCTGCGAAGCCCGGAGCCGAACCTTGTGGCACTAATGCCACCGTTATTCCTGTTTAATTATTCATTCATTCCTTATTGCCATCAAGCCCAGCAGCTTTGCAGGGGAGGGGCGCTGCGGGCACTGGACCCCCATCGGGGCCCCGGCCCGCCCCGGACCGCCGTATCCTGCAGGGGGTCCCAGACGACCGCGCTAAGCCGGACCGGCCGGGCCCCCTGTTCCGCCCCTTCTGCCCCCTAGGGGGCGCTACAAGAGCGGAAAGGGGCCGCGTGGCGCGCTGCGGGCGTGGCGTGGCTCGGCGCGGCGTCGCCACCCGTATTACGAGGGACAAGTTTTAATTAGCAGTGTACAGCCGGGTAATCAACAACTTCCAAAACTGCAAGCCTGGGGGAAACAACAGCAGACGACGCACCACCTGCATACCAATCGGCTCGGCGCTCGGCGCGGCGCGGCCCGGGGCGAAGGGTCGTTGTTTCGTCGCTCTTTCTCTCTCGCACCCCTACGGGCCGCCGGCCGCTCCCTGAGTGCGACAGAGACGGAGCGACGGGCTTTGATGTCGCGGTGCGGGAGGGCAGTCCGGCTGGCGATACCCCGCGCCCATCAGACGGACGCGCAGGCGCCCAACGCTCTCGACGCGTTTTGAGCTCCAGAGTCGCTAAACAGGACGCGAACCGAACGTGTGACCCCACCAATGGATTCCTCGTTCGGAGAGCTATCCATTGGTGGGGTCACACGTTCGGTTCGAGTTAGCTACTCCGGAACTGAAAATGCGTCTAGAATTTTGGCCGCCTCTACCGGTCGTCTGGCTCACTGTGCGTCAGCACGGGCATCCAGACTGGCCTTCCGGTTTCCCGGTTGGTATAGTGCGTCCGCCCTCCTAGTGAAGTAAAATTGCTCCGCCGGATCTGCAGTGTGGTAGGCCATTGACACTGGCGACAACAGGCTGTGTACTTGCACAAATTGCGTCCTCGTCGTGGCCGTGCTTATCTCGGTACATACTGCCATCGAGTGTCGCGCACTACAACGACGGATGGATACAGGCAGCCTACCCCCCCCCCACACACACACAAACTCACACTCACACACACACACACACACACACACACACACACACACACACACACACATGTGTCGCGAGCATTCACCTTCTAAGGCAAGGCCTAGATCGCGAGTGCGAGGCTCCAAGGTAAACACCGATGCGGGTTGGATGGGACAAACAACCACAGCGCGGAGCCGGCTCTCTCCCTCTCTCTCTCTCGTGCACATGCTCCGTGTCAGCTTCGGATTCGCTCTCCCTCCGGTGAGGGCACACTGGGGGACAGCTGGAGGAAAGGGGTGACGGCGAGCTGTGGAAAGTCGAGTGGCGGTGTCCGAGGCAACCTGCTCACTAAACCACGAGTCAAAAATTAGCTGGCGGAGCGGGAGGCCCTTTCCCGTGCAGGGACTTCTTTTCCATACACTAGCGCGCGCACACACGCACCCTTCCGCACAGCCCCGCACAACAAGAGGTGTATTGCCCCCAGTTTGCGTACGCGAGAGGTCCAGAGTAAAGAAAAAACAGTGTAAATGTTTGACAGTTTGTCGACGTGGACGTACATGTCTCCCCTCCGGCAGCTCGCCTATCGGTTGACACAGGGAAGGACAAGAACAGTGTGGGACACGACAAGGCGGAGTGCTTGGCGCACGATGGGTTGCCTACCCGCGCGGCGCCGACACTGTGGGCCAGAAGACCGGTGGACGCGTTTTGAGCTCTAGAGTCGCTAAATGGGACTCGAACCGAACCTGTGACCCCACCAATGGATTGCTCGTTCGGAGAGCAATCCATTGGTGGGGTCACAGGTTCGGTCCGAGCCCTGTTCAGCGACTCCGGAGCTCAAAACGCGTGTCGAGTTTTGGCCGGCCCACTGTGCGATGGGTTGCCTACCCGCGGGGCGCCGACACGGGCCTTCATGTCGCCAGACGGCAGCGATCCTAAAATTTGATTCCCAAAGCAATTTATGTCGAAATGAGCGGCAAATCCCGGAGCTTCCGCATGCATGACGCCGAGCCGTTCTGGAGATTCGTTTATTTCCACTGTCTCCCTGGCACCCCTCCGGGACGCCCCGCGAGTGCGGCAGAGAAGGGGCGACCAAGCGACACTTCGGAAGCAGTGTGCTGGAGGCAGATGGAGCCAGATGGCAACAGCGCGCCGTGCAGGCCCTCTAGACCCTCTTTGTGAGGCGGTCTATGACGCAGACGACGAGGACGAGGGCCTCTGGCGAGTGCCTCCGGGAGGGCCTCCGGGAGGGCCTCCGGGAGGGCCTCTACCTCGGGCCGTCCCGGCTGCCTCGGCAAGTGCTCGTGGCTGCGGCGTGCCTGCTGCGGCGCGCTACGGCCTGAAGTCCCGACCGTCCCGGCGTCCTGGAGTGTGATATAATTACTGTCACTGTTTCCCCCGCGGTGGAGCAGAGCGTGAAGCAGGTTCCTCTTGACGTCGAGTGCAAGGCGCGGCACGGCGCGGCCGAGACCGAGGAGGGTGTGCTGGGTTTAGTGCACCCCACTCATGCTCGTGCGCATACGCCTTGAACGTGGAAAAAATAAGATGACATGGGAGGCGAAATCGTTACCGGCATGCGCAACGGAGAAACTCAACGCACGTTCGATTGAAAAATTGCAAGTCACCGGCTTTTCGAATGTCAGGTCTACCGGACACCAACGACTCGATCTCTACCACGGTAGACTGATGATGACCTGTGTGAAGGTGGCCACCATAGCTACCAAAGCCTCTTTTCAACCAACAAAGTCCGTTTGGACCGGTGGACCGGATTAGTGCCTGTTTCTGTTTTGAATCTGGCGCGCTGGGGGGCGGGGTATTCACAGCGATACTCCACGAAGCTGCGTTCGCCAAAGTGGGGTATTGATGCTAACGCGGGGCGGTTGGCTGGGCCGTCGCCGCCGGGGCAGCCGTATTTCAACGTGTTTCATTTCGATTGATTTTTAATGTCGAGTATCTTTTGGTTTTGAAACGTCTTTCCTCTCTTCAGGTGACTTCACAGTTTTACACTTTCTTTGAAAAATCATCTGATTTTTTTCCAGTTCTGTCTGGCCAGGTCAGGATTCTGAATGCTATGAAGAGGCAAAAATTATTGGCAGAGATACAAAATACTGAGAATTCACAATTTATTTTCTCTTCTTGCAACGTAATTCAGTCTTTTATAACATGAACATAAAATCACACAATAAAGCATTCACTTCTCACACACAAAAAAAAAAGAACAACACAACATACAAGATCATAACATGTTATTACAATAAAATCCATCCAACAACACAAGTAGACAGGGTAGCTTGGTTTCAATTTTTGTATAACTTTGAAATCCATGTAAATTTTAATGTCCTTTGACAAAAATGCAACAACAAATGAGCCAAGCTAAGATTGAGTCACAGGTAATTACGTGATTCACTAATCAACATGTGTTGAATGTGCTGCTATTTTTACGAGAGTGGGGGCATGGGATTATAAAGTTCCAATCTTCAGCGGCAACTTAAACTTCCGTATAGCTCTCAAGCAGGCAGCACACATGATCACTTCCTAAAAACAATGTACTGATCACAAGGAAAACAAAACTTAAAACCTAGAAACAAAATTGTGCATGGAAACAACAAGTTGCAAATCATACATTTGAGAAACAATAAATAATTGACTACAATGTATGAGATTGATGCTAGCTTCACAATGGTAACCATGTCTTCACATAGAGCACAAAATCAATATCTAAGCAAAGCCCAAGGGAAATTAACAGAACGTAATTACAGGGAGATAACTCCTGTAGTCAATTTTCATCCAAGAAAAAGAACGCATGCACCACAGAAAATATAGACTATCAAAATTTCGTCTGTGATTACATTGATCGGAATTCTTCATCATCATACTAGTTTAAGTTAGGTTTAAAATATCCCAACCATAAAAACACAAAAACATAACATTCCATATTCATGCAAGCAAAGAAATAACAGAGACAGTTGGAAATTGTGAGAAAACATTTAAGTTAAGCAGATAACATACACTAACCGCATATCTTGCCATGACGATGATATTTTTATAGATTGTAGTTAGAAGTACAAGAATCAAGTGATAAAATTGCAGCAGACTCAGGAGAATGATGGATCTGAAGAGGTTGTAACAGCTGACAAAAATCAATAGATTACACAGAAATTAATAGAAGGAAAAAAAAATACAATTTTATCAATAACATACTCTTAAGCTTTCTATCTTGAAATGACTTCCAACTCTCTCTCAATCATTCATTAATTTATAATATTTTCATTTTCCTTAAAAACTCTACAAGCAAGATAATTCATAAATAATCCTGCAGCATGGTCAAATTATAAATACATTAAAATGTATTTGTTCATCAACTCTAAAAAATTTAGAGGTCTGGACATCAGAATGTTTCATTCCATTTGTAATCACCTGAATCTGACAATACAAAAATACAGTTTTTAATTCACAGCTAATATGAGGCTTTAGGCAGTATCACGCTGGTAATCAGAAATTCTTGCACCAAGGGTTTTAGTTGGTGTTGATGAAACTACATTAGGATTGATGGGCCATGTTGCTAAGCTATCCTCATAGCCCATTTTATCTCTTGTAAGTGACAGCCCAAATATGGAGTTTGTTCCACTTTGGAAAGCTGCAGGGTCGCAACTTGATCTTGTGGCATAGCCAGTGTCTTGTGAGATCATATTAGAAGACACTGCTTGCTGAGAGTATGAAAAACTATTCACATCGTGCTGGTAAGCAGCATCCACCATGGATTCACTTTCTCTCCAGCTTTCTGTGATGTTCGCTGGTTTACTTTGTGAAATGTCCATCATATTGTGAGCAGAGGAAACATCCATCGCTGGATTGTTCTTCACCGGAGTAGATGTTTGAGATATGGACATAGCTTCTGAAGAGCAATTGAGCGAATTCCGTTTGTTCCGTTTGGCCCATTTCACACCTGGTTGTAGATCCGCATGGTCACCAGGGGTCTCTTTATCATGAAGTGGGGCTGTGCCTGAAAACGATACAGAATTGATTGAGGGGTACTACAAGAAAAATAAACAAATGGCTCAAAGGCATGGCAAACAAATTACCAAGAGGAGAACAGGAGCCAACTGGAGCGGTGATTGGAGCTTGTCTGGGTGTGCCAGGGGTGTTTTGTATTGATGCATCCAGTGACATTTCCTCCTGATCTCGTGTGAAATCGAGTCTTGTAGCCGACTTTACCCTTCTCATAGGAGTTCCCCCACTATGAACAGGTGAAATTCCTGGTGGAGACTGGAGTGCACTGCTTCCCGGTAGAGGAGTGCCAAAACTACGTCCTTGAAACTGCACCAATGAGTGACTTGCAGGTCTGAACCAAGTTCAACATACAGTTAGTTCAAAAACAACAAAAATGCCAAGAGGAGGATATGAGGAGACAACAAACATCAAAACACTCTCCATATTTTAAAAAATCTCACCCGTGTAATATCTGGAAATTAGGAGGCTGTGGAGGTGTAGATGGGGTTGGTGAGGGTGATGAATCTGACTGGAAAAACAGCTTACGGCGAAGGGATGAGTTACTCATGACACCTTCATCGCCTTCAGTATTCTGTTGAGCTTGCTGTTGATCCTAGAAAAAAAAAAAAAAAACCATTAGCCAAAGTGTGAATAGAACCAAACATAAGTGCTGAAACAATATAGCAATGGCAAAACTTATTTATTACCATAGTGAATGTGAAAAATGGCTTCAAAGCAAGCTCCATGCTTGGTGGCAGTACTGGTGGTAGTGTTAAAGTTGTCTGTGTCCATACTAAGAAAAGCAGACGAAAAATAATATTAATACTAGCCACTCGACACAAGGATTTTAATCTAAATACATGACATTCAACTTACCTTCTCTGGAAGGGTTCTTTTGCGATACTCCACTCTGTTCTAGGTCTGAGTCTATGTCAGCACGTTGGTTAATTGCATGAGAGGGAGTGGCACTGGCATGCAGGCCTGACGGGGTTCCGGCATTTACTTCTTGTCGTAAAGTAGCTGTAACGTCTGGCTTTGGCCATGGACTGGGTAACAATGGTTGATTTTTGCAAAAGAACCTGTAAAAGATTCAGTCTTAAAGTTTTGTCCAGTGCATACATTCGGTCAAGCATTTGGAAAAAATTATACAGGACCACATACCTGTTAATTGCTTCTTGTGCTTTTGATTCCAGATCAGGATCAACAACTTCTTCGAACTGATTGGCTGGGAATTCTTCAATATCAGCTGGATAGATGCGGGATATGTCTTCAATGGTCCATCGGAATGTGGGACTATCCTGTGGGCATCGTCATACATTAGCTCAAATCTGGTGAGCCCAACAATGGAAGTACAGAGCTCTAGCACAAAGAGGAATACTCACTTGACTGGGACTGACCACTCTTGCAAAAACAGACGGGCTGTACATGGGAAACGGCAAGCGATCTGCAATGCCGACATCAAAGGGGTTGCTCACAACGATATTCTTGGTCCTGGCTGGTGGCGTTCGGTGCAGGTGCTTCAAGGAGCCAGCTGAAGGTGGGCATGTGTAGTACTTGGACCTGAACTGCGACTTGACGTCAGGGGTAACGTTTTCCTCTGCACTGTGAATGCCAGCGTCAGGAGAGGAGCCAGAGCCCTGGGACTGGCCGGGCAGGCGGCTTTCGGTCGACACCACGGGGCTCTCGTGCTTTCGGAGAGCCGGAGACGACAGGCCGGGAGCCAGGCTTCCGTTCTGTTTCAATTTCCCGACAGGAGGGGACATAACGCACTCATTTCCCAGCATTGTGGCCTGCAGGTTAAGACGGCTGCAGACACAACAACTCACAGGGTCATAAAATTTAATTGCTTTTTTAGCGTATCGAGCTGACGCCGTATTTCCGCGGTCCCGCGTCCTCCCGCCCGCTCCAGCCCGCGTCTCACAGGTGCATTACACTGCAAGTCAGCCCCATCGGCTCAAAATCACACAAATTGCGGCCGGAACCCCCCGAAATAATTCAAACTTCTGTTTCAAACGGAGTAAACCAAAGCCACCGCCGCCTAGAGGCTCTCTACCGCCTACCGCGTGGGCAGGGGTGGGGGGCATTGCCGCCCGCGCCGCCACCATCTCTGCCCGTAGCAGACGACGGGGGCGATATGTTGCCGGATTGTGTCACCAGAGCGCGCGGAAGTCGCCCAAGGTCGCCCCGCCCTGCATCCAGTTTTGGACTTTTGGCTCTCACTGCAATTATCGCACATTCATGAAAATTCTCTAAGTACAAGGCTAGCGCCACAAGCGCTGTCAACAACCGGCTCGCTTACTTTACCCGTCATTTTTGCCCATCCAACCCGAACGGAAAGTGGCGCCCCAGCCAGAATGGTCAGGCCAATCAGAAACCGCCGCTGCGTTTTGTCGACACTCTTGAGACAGTATGCCTACGCCAGCTCCGGTTCGCTGCGGCTCCGCCCGCCACCCCGCCGTCACTCTTGCAGTCACCTTTGCCTGCATCGTTTCGTTTTTCGCTGCCCCGTGCCGCTACCTCCGCTTTGTCGTCTACGCTTCTGTTGTCGTTCGTTACGCTCAGTCTCAGTCGTTTACGATTTGTCCTTCTTTTTTGCGTTGTCTACGCTTCTTTTGTCGTTACGCTCTGTCGTTTAACGATTTGTCCTCCTTTTTTCACGCGTTGTGTACGCTTTTGTCTTTCGCTCTATGCGTCCTGATTTCTTAAACGTTGTTTACGTTTTTATTGTAACTACCATGGTTGCTTCACTAGTTCTTCGTAGAGGTGAGTGTCTAGTGTTTGTGTAGTGTGTTGGGGTGCGCCGTGGCGCCGTGGGGTCCGTAGGGCCTCGCCGGCCTGCCCGATTCGCTTGTTGTTGATCGGCGCCGCGCCCGTGCCGTCCTCGCCGGCCTGCCCCGTTCGCTTGTTGTTGATCGGCCGCGCGTCCCTCTGTGCCCTCCTTGCCGGCCTGCCCAATTCGCTTGTTGTTGATGGGCGTCGCCACGTCCCTGCCGCGGCCTGCCGCCCAGCCGCTCGTGCGTTGTCCCATTCCCCCGTTCCTTTTGACTGTTGATTGTCGGCGTGGACAGCCCGAAGCAGTGTCGTTGTCGGACCCGTGGAGACGTCTCAACCCGTTACCGGGTTGTTTGTTTGACTGCGCTGCCCAACGCGTTGCTCCCGCCGTGTGGCTCGCTGCGCTTGCGCTCAGCCCCGCCTTGCCTCGCCCCCGCCGCGGCGCGCGGCCTCTGCGGCTCGTTCTCCGGTCCCACCAGTGTCCCACCCCGTCGACGCCATCGGCGCCATCGGCCTCGTCGGAGGGCCCGATCCCCCGGTCCCCGCTTGACGCGTGTCCTCGCCGTGGCCGATCGCCGCAGTCCGCAGCGGCTCGGCCAGCCCTTTGCTGTTGCTGTGCCCAGGGCCTGGGCCTCGGCCTGGGCCGGCGCCACGTCGTTGTCCGCGTGGCCGTTGTCTGCTTCAGGGCCTTGGCCGGTTCGGCCGTGTGTTGGTCTCTGTTATGGCACTCACATGACGCCACGGCCTAGCCGCGTAGCGGCGTATACCCATGGCGTGGTGGCCCTACGAACCCCCCGCCCCCGGCAATTTGTTGTCTAACCCCGGGGGGGGGGGGGGGGGGGCTGCACTATGCGTTCTACGCACTCAAGGCTCAAGTGCGTGTGTGTGTAGACTGCTGGGGGGTGTGGCGGTGCGCGGCGGGACGTGGCGCCTCGGCAAGGGAATGAGCTAGGGGGGCAGCTACGTGATGCGTGCTAGCAGCGTCTCGTAACGACGCGCAACGCGAGGGACGCACTTCATGAGCACTTGATAGCTGGGTGTCGAGGTTATACGACGCGCGCGCAACCCGAGCCCCCGCAGCCGCCCCGATTCATGGTGCGGCGCGCGGCACGGCACGGCGCGGCGCGGCAGACTGCGGGCCCTCCGCTCATAATCTTCTAGGCAGGCCAGCCAGCCGCTGCCTTGCCAGCGAGGCGCTCGGCCTCTTCTAGGCTTGCTAGTCAGGCAACGAGGCAACTGCTACCTGGCTAGCCGGAAACTCGGTACTCTCTGCACGAGAGTACAAGCACGCTGATACGTGAACGCATCATCTGCTAAAAAGGTCTAATGTTCTGTTTTTCTGTTCACAGGTCGGTCCTCCTCTCGAATCCCGAAGTGTCGGGTTAACATTGCTGGAAGAGTAGCTTGGGCTTTACCCGCCTTGTTAGAGGTGGACATTGGGCCTGACACTAAAGGTAAGTAGCACCAAGGATGTGGCTGGACGTGCACCGCGGCGCCGTGTGTCTGCGTTTGCTCACCCGTTGACTGTTGCAGGCCTCTTCGAGTTGGTGGGGACTGGTGTCACTTCTGAGGATGGGCAAGCCGATTGGGAGGCGGCAGCCGGCCCCGCTTCTTATGCGGCAACACCTGGTATGGTGAAGTGCGTTTTTTGTCCGGACACTTTTTTTAAAATATCCCATTGGGCCATGCACGTACGCCGAGGAGGGTGTCGGCAATTTGATTTCCATAAGTGAGTACCCTGTTATTGAGTTGGGCGGAAATGCTTGTGCCCGCTCGTTTTCTTTTATAACCAATTTGTCCGTTACAGCGTCGAGCATGTTCAGCTTTTTGACGTGTGTGCCGCGCTCTGCCGAGGAATGTTTGGATCCAATATAGCTCGAATGTCAGACGGTGATGCAGCATTCGAACGGCAGATGATCAACGACGTGAATGGATTGGTGCATGAAACGATTTCGCAGAATCGTCTGGCTACGGAACTTGATGTTCCGGAGCTGAACACTCCAGAGTTTGTGTAAGTCTCGTTACCCCTGTGCTTGTTTTGAAGTGGCTCACGTCTCACCGTCCGTGTTCCTTGCAGGAAAATGCATGAACATTTCCTTAATGTCACTTCTGGGCGGGTGCGCCAGGCCATGTTTAAGGCGGCTCGTGCCGTACGTTCCTGCAACCAGGCGTAAGTAGATGCACTTCAAGCAGCATGTTCGCCCTTAAATCGTTTCTTGACTTCCGTTTTACTTCCAGGGAGATGAAAAAGTCCTTCGAAGACTTAAACAAGTTTGGCACGGCGTTCAAAACGTCGTGCATTGGCTATTGTAATGCTTTGGCCGTGTAAGTTGTAACCGATGCTATTGGTGGCATTCCTATTCCTGCAATGGATGATTGGCTAAACTGATTGTGTTTCTTCCACAGGGCTCTTCCCAACGTGGGTCAGGGTAACGACCATGACGACGACGACGGTCCGGGCCCCAGCTCGAAGCCAGTGCAGAAGCCAGTGCAGAAGCCAGTGCAGAAGCCAGTGCAGAAGCCAGTGCAGAAGCCAGTGCAGAAGCCAGTGCAGAAGCCAGTGCAGAAGCCAGTGCAGAAGCCAGTGCAGAAGCCAGTGCAGAAGCCAGTGCAGAAGCCAGCCGCAACCTCCACGCCCACCACCCGAAGCGTCAACATCGACTCGGCTGACACTCCAGGCCCGTCAACTACCTACGGCCCCAGGTCTCACCCCTACACTCGGCGGCCCTCATGCACCTCAGACATGACCGATCTTTCTCTTAAGAGTCTCGACTACACGTGTATGGAGTAAGTTAGTCGCTTCAGTTGCCACTTGGTGGTTTCTAAATATTCCGTGGTATTAATTTTTTTTCTTGTTTTAGTATCAGTGTAGCATCTTCAACCAACAACAAACGGCGGCACGAGGAGGACGACGAGGACGAGGAGGAGGAGCCCCGCGCCCGCACCCCCACCCCTCCACCGCGGAAGCGGCGTCCGCGCCGACGGGACCACGATGACCCACCCCCGCCTGCTCCAACCCATGCCAAGAGGGTGTCCAGGCGGCCCAATTGGTATGGGGTCGCCTAGGGTCGCCTCGCACTAACATGATTTGCGACATGAAGCAAGCGAGAAACGTGATAGTGAAAGGTATGTACGCTTCTTGTGTCGCAGCTTCTTAAAAAAAAAACAGGGAATTTGTCTGCATCACGCATTTCTTAAGTCAATTGTATCGAAGCTTGAGGTATTGCTCGCAAAACGTGCGAGGCTCTGTGTCTACTTAGGGCAGAGTTTAGGTTAGGGAGCTGTAAAGGCTCTGTTCGAAGGTATCTATCATATGGGGCCCAGAGGGTGGCCATGCTCGACCGTTCCTTTCGCTGGTGTTAAGTGCCATGATGCTAGGGTGCTCCCGCTTCTCTGCCTGAGCCAAGCCTCTATTTTGAGTTCCGAACTGATCCACGATTTCCTTTCTCAATAAACAAGCTTGACCTTGCCCTGAACTGTAGCATAGCTTCCAGCAAAGGCTTTTTTTAAATAAAGGCCCTTTCTATTTTTATGTAACTTGCGCAATTATTGATTTGCTTTTCTTGTTTTGCAGGTTGCATACCTGGAGGTTGCTTTTGGTAAAATCAAAGCCTCAAAGAAAGATCTACATCTTCACATAACCTTTGATCCAGAGGCAGGTTACCTATGAAATTCTTTTGCTTGCGCTTAAGGGACCTCTTTTATCTGTCTCTCTGAGTATTCGGTCAATGACACGTACTAGTTTGTTCGGCAATGTCTGCGTTGACAACCATCAATGGTGAGTGTCACCTGCTAACTGTTTTAAACCGAAACATAAAGCCATCTAATGTTTTCCATGTATTAACCTTTTTTGTGGTCTTTCTTTCTGAAACATTTGTCCCCTTCTGTTACAGGTTCGGGTTTAGTGGCTGTGTTTTAAGACTGGCTTCGGTTCGTCAGTACCTGTTAAATGCCTTTTTCAAAAGCCTTTTCTAGAAAGCACTTCTGAGATTGTAAGTAAAATACTTCTATTCATTCTAATGTATTTTCTGGTTCTTATCATCCCTCCATGAATAGTTACTTCAATTTTATCTATTTTATTACAGACCAGTATCTCATAGTTAATAGTGACTTGGAGTCAATGGAGAATTCCATATCAAAGCTAACTGTACATTAATGAAAATGAATTTTCCTGTGAGGTTTTGGACCTTCTGTCAGAGGTCTGTTCAGGGAATTGATTTTCTTGGTATCAAGGGACTTCTTAAATCTGTATTTTGGTCTCTGAGTATTCTGCCAATGATACGTACACAGTTCTGGTGTTCGGCAA